ACAGGGGATGTGAAATGTCTACAATTCACAGGAACCGGTAAAGCGATGTTGAGACCTGAGATGGCGGTCGGAGGCTCCTGTCTGTGCAAGAAAGAATTCTGACATGAGGCAGACAGGAGCTGTGAGCTTGCCAGCCAAGTGCACTGAAGGGGGCACACCTGGCCAGCCAGGTACCACCGCAAGAAGGAAGGAACTGAGGCCTGGTCAGCTGCATCCTTGCCGTCTGCTGGGTCTGGTCGCCCAACCCTGCCCTGCTCCCTCCTTCTTCTCTCTTCTGGGAAGCTGCTGGGTGGAGGGCCTTTGGGGGAGTGGAATTTCTGAAAGTCTTCCCAGAACCTTATCAGTGTGATAGAACCGGTCCCTCCTCAGGCCTGGTAGAGCCAGAGAGAGATGCCTCCAACTGCCCGGGGCGTCCTCCAGTCTGCCTTCAAAGCTTCTCTCCTTGTTCCAGCTTGGAAACATTCTTTTCTCCCCACCCTCTGCAGAATTCCCATTTGCTTCAGTTCCCTGTAAACACGCAGGCTCATGTCTGTCTGCCCAACTAGCTAACAGCATTACCAAAGTATGGTGCATAAAATGCAATCAACAGAGTAACCACTAAAAAACCTGCGCAACAAAATCAACAAAATTTAAAAGCAAAAATTATATTCAAGTAACTCACAGAAATTCAAGAAAAAATAGGGGGCAAATGATAATCATATTGAATGTAAGGCACCTAAAGCATCAATTATACAACAGACATGGGGGCATCACATGGTGGCTCAATGGCTAAATCCTCATCTTGCAAGTGTCAGTATTTTATATGGACACTGATTTGTGTCCCCACTGTCACTTCCCATCTGGCTCCCTGCTTATGGCCTGGGGAAGCAATAAGAGGACAGCCCCAAGCCTGGAGGCCCAGCACCTGAATGGGAGATCCAGAAAAGCTCCTGGCTTCTGGTGTCCGTATTGACTTAACTCCCGGCTGTTGCAACCACTTGGGGAGTGAACCAGTGGATGGAAGATATCTGTCTCTCCTTCTCTCTGTAAATCTGATCTGCCTTTCCAATAAAAGTAAAGTAAATATTTTTTTTAAATTACAGACATGGGTAGAATGGATATTTTAATCCTTGTATCTGTGCAAGAAACTCCATATAGATTAATTGTGCAGAAAATACCAAGTGAGCTGCGAGTTCAACAAACCCAGACCTTCCTGTGTGTATGCATGTGTGTGTGTGTGTGTGTGTGTGTGTAGCTGAGCAGTGAGTTCAAGTCACAGCATTCTCGGAACAGGCTGGGCGGAGGCTCCTGCCTGCTCACAGGGAGGAATTCACGTCTGAGACACGGAGGGGAGTTGTGTGTGTGCCAGTTGCATGTAATGAAAGGCGTATACTTAGCACCTCAGGAAAGAACTGGGACTTTGTGACTAAGTGTTTATAGGACCTGAGTGTGCCCGCTGTCCATCAGATCCTCCCTGCACTGGGGAACGGAGCCTACAGCTCCGTTGGTGTAGGCTGGGGCAGGTTCCTGTAGACTGCCCCGGGAGAGGGTTGGAACCCATGCAACCCACCCAACCAGGACTTCTCATGCATAGTGCAGAGCTTCCCCTTCTTCCTACATTCCTCCCTCATTGAACCACTCCAAATTCCCCATGTTCTTTGAGCCCTTGAACACACAGCTGATGTCCACCTCGCTACCCTAATGATGAGATACAGGAGCAACACACAAACATCAGTTGCATTTCCACATATCGGGATTAACAGGAAGCCAACATATGGAACCTGACGTTTGTGTGGCATTTATAATTGCTTTTAAAGAAAAGTGTAAATCTGGTACAACATTGTAAGCTGGGAATGGTACTTCATAAAAGAGCTCAATAAACAGAGATATATCATGTTTGTGGATTGGAAGACAGAACGGAAAAACATTAATTCTCAGCAAATTGGCATACTTGTTTAAGTCAATTTCCATCAAAATCACTGACGAGATTGTTTTTAGCTACTAACAGGATTCTTCTAACATTTATATTGAAGCTACTAGGATAGTTAAAGCAATCTTTTTTTTTAAAGATTTATTTTTATTATTTTTTTCATTGGAAAGGCGGATATACAGAGAGGAGAGACAGAGAGGAAGATCTTCCGTCTGATGATTCACTCCCAAAGTGAGCGCAATGGCCGATACTATGCCAATCCGTAGCCAGGAGCCTCTTCCCACGCGGGTGCAGGGTCCCAAAGCTTTGGGCGGTCCTCGAATGCCTTCCCGGGCCACCGGCAGGGAGCTGGATGGGAAGCGGTGGCTGCCGGGACAGAACTGGCGCCCATATGGGAAACCGGGCATGCAAGGTGACCTTAACCACTTGCGCCACCACACCGGGCCCGATAGTTAAAGCAATCTTGATGAGAAAAATAAGATTGTCAGGAACCAGCCTGCCCATTCTCAAGATCAAACAGCTTCAAAACCTGTGGTTTCTGCTGGAGAAATAGCCACAGGTCAGCGAGGCAGAAAAATGAACTCCAAAACAGACCCACACAGGAGATCAGTCAAAATTTCAGAAAGACACAGGGAGGAAAGGTAGCCGTTTCTATAAGCCGTACTGGCCCAATTGCTCATGCGCAGATGAGCATGAATGCTGATGTCAACTCAGGATTCAGCTGGAACTGAGTTACAAACCGAAACACAAGTCTGCACAACTTGTAGAGGCCAGCAGAACCAAAAACCTCCAGCTGGAGGCCCAAGGAAGGAGCTCCGAGATTTGGTACCGAAAACAACAGGAAATGGGGACTGCTGCTAAGCCATATTTCATCCAAACGGACACAGGTGCTGGGCCATAGACCGAGGGCCAACCAGAAGAAGGTTTTGCAAATGACGCATCTGACCCAGAGGCTTAATGTCCAGAACTCTGAAAACACAGTCAAAAGAAACAAACAACTCAGAAAATGATCAAAAGACAAGAGGCCGAGGCCGCTCTCTATTTACAGATGGCAAACAAGCTGGTGGAAAGACACTCAACAACATTAGCCATTAAGTAAATGCAAATGAGAGCCCCAGCGAGAGATGGCTGGGCACTTAACAGAAAGGTTAAAAACAAATGACCACGCTGAATGCTGACAAGAATGCGGGCAAACTGGATTTTGCTGGCCCTGCAGGCGGGACCATCAGAGGATACAGCCTCTAGGAAAAACATTTTGGCAATATTCCCTCAACCCCCAAGCCTGTGCATCCACATTTACAGCAGTTTCCCCATCAACATCCCAGACATCTGCCAGTAGGTGACCCTGCCCCCCATCGGGGCAAACCACACACACACACACACACACACACACACACACACACACACACGCCAGGACACAGGATGAAAACAGCTAATCGTGTACCTTCAAAACATTCTCAAAATGGCAAAAAGGTCAGATTGCCGGCTTTTATGGGATTGGGGATGGGGAGATGGAGGCCGAAGTGGCCATGTCCAGGGCGCCAAGCCTGCTGTGACAGCTGCTGTGCTGTGGCTTTGCAGGGAGTGACTATGGAGGGGAAACTGAGTCAAGGATACACAGCATCTCTCTTTCATGCCATTGTATCACAATTATCCCCAGATAAAAGGTACAGTGAACAGAAGAGCCTAGATCTGCTCAGAGCGCCATCCCCACCCTTTTACGACCCAAGTCCCTGTTGGCAGGGTAGCAGAGCTGGGAGGAGCCCTTGGAGCTTGCAGCCACGGTGCCCCTAAGGGCCTGTTAACAACTCCAGTAAAGTCTTCTCTTCAAAAATTACCCCCCATGAAAACTTGCAAGAAAGTGTCCCGTAGACCCCACCCTCCTCTTAGCAAATCACAATCCAAAGATAAGCCACATGCGCTTAGCACGCCCACTGGGGCAGGGCTCCTTGGTCCCCAACCCTGAGACTGTGGCCCCTCGCTCTTCACCTGCTTGATAGTGGAGCCTTGGGGACCTGCATGAGGCCAGAGAGCCAAGCTGTACCAAGGCCCTATTGTCAAATTAGCTGGAAGGCTGTGTCCCGGGCCTGGGTCACCTCTGTGTAGGAACCGAGGCTCCAAGACACAGACAGGTCTTTACAGCTGCAAAGTTGTTGGTCATGGAAAGGAGGACACAGAGACCACTTGAAGTCAGCACGAGTCGGGAACACTTGTCCAACTGTCACTCAGGTGAGGAGACTCCACTGAGGGAAGAGGCTGAAGTTGAGACCTGGCAGGTCCAGAGCCCACTGCTGTATTCTCCGGGACTCCAACAGACAGAGCAGAAGCCTTGTGCTGGCCTTGTGAGATTGTGTTTGCACAACTGGTTCCTGGGGCAGGGGGAGGGTGGGCGGGGAGGACGGGCGTTTGTGCCTGCCAAGTCTGCCTCTCCCCTTTGCCCCTTTTTGAGCTTTGGCTGTGTGTTGGGGGGGGGGGGAGGTGTTTGTGTTTATGTCTCTATGTATCCCTGGATATATTTGTGTCTAACTGGGTTATTTTTCACATGAGTCTCTGGATGTCGCGTTTCTGTGTGTGTAGTGTGCATGCATGCATTCGTGATGTGTGCTGAGTGGAGGTGCTAGCTCCCTGGAGCCTCGCTGTGAGAGCAGTGCCTGTGTGAGGGGCCGTGTGTGTGTATAAGTGTGCACACACGTGTGTTGTGTGTCTATGAGCGCGTGGGCGTCTGTGTGTTCCCGTGCACGTGCTGTCCGGGAACAGCTCTGTGCACGCGCCTGGGCGCGGTGCAGGCGCCTTTCCACACCAAGGCCCTGGAGAGCCGCGCTCTCCGGATCAGGGCTCCCTGACAGTTCCCAGGCCGCCACCCCGGGGCGCGGCCGCCAGGGAAGCAGGCGGGGAGGAGATCGTGGCCGGGTTCGCGGGCCGCGCCCCCGCTCCTCCCCGCGGGCTGGGCACACGTGGGCCCCGGGGCGCCGCCTCCCTGCGCCCGGCCCCATCGGTCCCGCGCGTCCCCACCCACCTCGGGCCGCCCCCGCCGCCGAGCCGGCCCGGGGATAAAGTGGCGGCGCAGACGCCGCGCCCTGTCGCCGAGGAGCCGGCCGCGCGCAGCTCGTCCCGGCCCTAACCCGCCGCAGACGAGGATCCGCGGCGCTCGGGAACGCGACTGCGGCGCTCGTGGCCCCTCGGTAACTGTCCCTGGACCCCCGCCCCAGCCTGCGAGTGCCGCCGCCAGGGGCGATGCCGGCATCGGGGTCCTTGGCGCGCTCGGGGTCCTCGGCGCGCTCGGCGAGCCTGGGCACCCCCTCCTGCGTGCGTGTGTCTGGCGCGCGTGGTGGTGCGCGTGGCAGCGCGCGTGTGTGTGCGGGCGCGCGCTCTGCCTGCTACCTCGCGCCAGCCCCCAAACCAACTTGTCCCCAGCAGCCGCGTCTTGCAGCCGCCGGTGCTTGGACAGTGACCACGTCCCCAGGGGCTGCCTTTGGCGGCATTGGCAGTGACAGGCGCGGGAGCCCCCTTCCCTACGCTCTTGGGGACGCACGGGAAGCAAAGTTTGCCTAGAAACCCTGGGAGTGGGTGGGGAGGGGGACGTCATCCTGAGGGGCGCCTGTGTGTGGATGCAGGGGGGCCCTCGCGTGAGTGGTGCCCAAGCATCCCTCCTTTGCCCCTCCGGGGATTTGTTTAGGAAAAGTGATGACACTAACTAGAAGTGGGGACCGCAGGCGCCGGGTCCCGCCCCGGGGAGGGAGGGGGCGAGCTCCCGGCGCGGGGAGGAGCGGGGCGCAGGCTCCAGGCTCGGCACCCACAGCCCTTGCGGGCAGGACAGCGCGGCGCAGGCGGGCTCGGCTTGGCGGCCGCCCGCAAGCTGCCCGGGGCCGCGGGGATGAGCAGATGGCCCCGGCTCTCCGGGCGCTGACCCTCGAGGTTGCCGCGGGTGTGGGATGCGAAGGAACGCCGGGGCGGAATGGAAACAGGTCTGCGGTCGCATCTTTGGCATCTCAGCCGCGGGCGGGCAGGCGGGCAGGCGGGCAGGCGAGCTGGCGAGCTATCGGCAATGGAACGGAGCATTCCTCCGCCTCGCTCTGGCGTCCAACACCCCCCACACCCCCAAAACTGTTCCTGGGAGGTTTTTAGCTAGATGGGGGCTTCTCGCAGCTGGGTCTTTGTACCCAGGGAGCTAGCTGTCGTTTCCACTTGATTACAGCTAAAATAGTCTTTAAGGATGAAGTTTCCTGAAATGATTTAAAATAAACACAGATGGGAAGGTAGGGGGCGGGAGGGGGGACTGTAAGGAGGCACTTAAATAAAAGTGAGCTTTTTCTTAAGGACAAATGGGCTTTTTCAGTCTTGGAGAGGTTTGCAAGAAATACATGCAATTTTTAAAAAGCTTTGGAATTAATGTTTTTTTTTTTCTTTTTCTAAACTGGTTAACGAAATGTTCGTGGCTCTGGGCAAGGCTGTCGCCTGCGTCCACCTGACTTTGGCATCTGTCCACTCTCTTCTCAAGGGTTCCAAGACCGCTCCAGGATGCCTGAGGAAAGTTCTCCGCGGCGGACCCCGCAGAACGTGCCCTACCGGGACCTCCCGCACCTGGTCAACGCTGATGGACAGTACCTCTTCTGCAAGTACTGGAAGCCCACGGGCACACCCAAGTAAGTCACCCCTTACCCTGCCCCCCAGGTTTCCAGGGATGTACCTGATTCTTCGCCGTCCTGGGGGGACCACCTGCTCTGTGACCCAGCTGCCATTGCTGTTTGAAACTGAGTATCAATACAACCAGGTTGTAGACTGTATATATGTGTATATATAAATGTAAGTATTTTAAAACCAGAGCTTGCTTGTTCATCATGGGCTAGAATAGGGTTCCTACCATTTGGCAGTTTACAAAAAAAAAAAATGTCCATTTGACTCAATTTCTTGGGGTGGAACTGATGGTTTGCGGTCCAAGCTTTCATTGGAAATTAGACCCCGGCCGCTACAGAGAACCCCGCAGAGAGGTGAGTAAGCCTGCCATGTGCCCCCAGAGGTGCTGGCCTTGCCTTTCCCGTGAGTTCTGAGCTCTTAACAGCAACATAGATGTGTAGCCGGGGAAGAGAGGGGCCAGGGCGGGTGGCGTCTTTCTTCCCTGTTCCTTGGCAGCTCCATGGCTTGGTACATCTTCCCATCAAGGCTCTGCCCGGCTGTTGGGAGCGGGCGCCGGGCACCGCACAGATCAGACAGCTGGTCTCCTGCTGCTTCCCTGCACTTGGATGGAGCAGGAAAACCCTGCTTGTTCGTGTTATTCAGGGAGAGAGATGTCACGTGTGGCAGCCCGGTGGCCTGGTGACAGGGGATGTGTTCCTGCTCCAGGGACTTGACCTGTCTCACAGGGATCACGGCGGGGTACGGGTTGCATTATCCCTCTGTGTCTCCCTGACCAGCCAACACAATTTCTCCCGTGCCTTTGATAAGGTGTGTGTGTGTGAATCTAGACACTTGTGGAGACCTAGCTTAATAATCCTGGCTACAGGGGCGCTGTGCCAACTTGCTATGACTTTCTAGTAGGATTCCAAAGTGGATGATGGGCTAAGAGTTTCTAGTAGTTCCAACAATATCTTTTTTTTTTTTTTAATTTTCTATAAGTCTAACAGTACCTGTGCCTTAGAAGGGGAGAGGGAAACCGGGGAGGGACAGAGACTGGAATCATTTAATTCTATGCCTCGACTTAGCTGGTTCTGTGTTCTTGGTTTAATTTCTTGCGAGGAAATGGTTATGCGATGAGTTGTTTGATCGCTGCTGCACCAAAAGAAGGAGGCCTTGCCAACGTCCGGACTGAGGCTCCGGGCTTGGTCATTTGAGCTGTGAGGTTGTCCTAGTTTGCACAATGGAGCAGGCCTGCAGTCCCGCCCCCAGGGGAGTGGGTTGCGAATGGCCGAGTTGGCCGCCCTCCCCTCGGCTGTGGGTGGTTTTCACAATCTCAGGGCTGAAGTTGTATAGCAGGCAGCTCTCCCTCCGCAGTGCCACTTTTGCTCCAGTTAGAGATGGCAGTGCCACACGGCTCCAGTTGAGCTTGACTTTTGGAAGTCAGCATGTGTCCTGTGGAGGATGGTGATTGGGTGTTAAGGAAGAGGGTGGAGGTCAAGTGCATTTAGGATTCGTAAGAAATTAATGGGTCTGGTCCAAGTTCAGGGCAGAGGGACCAAAATGAAGACAGCCACAGAGCCAGCAGCGTTCATGGCTCGGTGCACCTTTCCACCGCACTGCCCGTGTCCTCGGGAAGGAGGGTGGTGAGGCCATGGGACCTGCCCAGGTGGCATGGCTGGGCCAGGCCCACTGGCTCTACCCCTTGGAGGTGATGCACATCCGTAAACTCCCTTTTGGGGTGGGGTCTGGAGGCTCCCCAGCATTTCATATCCAGCCCTAACTAATTAGGACAGAACAGGGTCCTGGAAGCCCCCTGTCTTGGCAGTGTTAACCCTGTGGTTGCTGCACCTTGGGAGGGATGTTGGGGGGGTCACAGGGGAGGGGCCGTGGCAGACAGAGTGGCCAGAGTTGGTCTGGATGTGTACCGAGCACAACTGAGCCTGGCTGCTCTATAGTTTGCCCTCTTGCGTGGTCCCCAAGACGGTGCCACACTCTGTGCAGGACAGCTCCATCCTGTCTGCCTTGGCTAGGTCATATGGGCCTCCACTTCCCCCCAACTTCTGGACCCCCTGAGATCCTTTTCTCCTTATTGACAGACAGACACAGAGAGAGAGGGAGGCAGAGACGAGACTGAACTTGTTGGGCCTCCTCTACCAGCCATGACGTGTGGGCCCAATGACCTCTTCCCTTCACCTGTTCTCATGTTATCTTTCTCATAGACGCCCCGGGGGCCCCTGGACCACCTGTACCAGATCCACAGTTGCTTTGCTTAGCTAGCTCAGGTTTGGGTTGATTTTCCCGTTAGTGAGTTTTCCCTCCACCCCCACCCCCAACTCCTTAAGCTTCCCCCCCCCCCCCCAGCATTTGCTGGACTCAAGGTTGGTTCTGCAGTACCTGGGAACCAGCTGCAGGTGCCAGTGGCAATCAGGCAAACCGGCTTAGCCAGTTCCTGGGAAGGAGGCTGTGCCCTTATCAATACCAGGGAGAGGGGAAAGAGAAAGCCTCTCTTGGGAGAGCCTTGGGGGTCTGCAGGGTCAGTGCTGATCTACTGGTACAGAGCAGGGAAGCCAGCCATCCACTTGGCAAGTTCATGGCCTCCTGGAAGGGTTCATTGTCATGGTGCGGGTCATACTTAGGGTAGAACAGAATGAGCTTCTGGGCAGGGACGGGTTCCAGGGCCTGGGCAAGACCCTGAGCCCAAAAGCTTTCATTTCCTCTTCTCATCTGTCCGTGAAGCAGGGTGAGGATGATTCAATAGAGGCTCAAGGTCAGCATCCACCCCAGCCGGCCCTGCCCTGCAGGCCTGCCGTGGGGTTCTCCCCACCGTGGCTCTCACTTGGAGTTCGGGTAAAGATCACTTCCCCTGGGTAAAGAGTAATAGAGTTAATTTATTTCCCCTTGTTGTTTCCAAGTAACATACTGCCAGTGAGAATTAGGTGAAAGTTTGTTCTGCACCAGCTGACCTGCCACGTGTAGCTGGAACCCCAAGGCTTCGGCTGCTTTCACAAATTCCCGCAGACCCTGGGCCTGTCGGGAGTGTGTGTGTGTGTGTGTGTGTGTGTGTGTGTGTGTCTTGTTAGGGGGTGGTTTGCCATTGCTCTTGTGCTCTGGAGGGATATTTGGCCTCTTGTTCCCCATACAATTCGTTGAGTGGTCCTCATCCCACGTAAAGGGCAACTCTGAATCCAGCAGTCACGGAATGCATGCCATGGCCATGGTGGGGCGTGTCCATGCTGCCCACCATGGTGGGGGGTGAACAACCTTTTCAGGCCAGGAAGTGTCGGGGATCTGATGGCCTGGGCTCCAAGGATGTCCTCATTTAGTTCTGAGTGGCCAGGGGGGCTGTGAGAGGGTCGGGATCCTTGACCCCTACCTGGCATGGTGTTTGTGGTCCGTCAGTAGGGCTTGTGTCAGGTGGGTGAAGGGTATGTTGGATGCACGCACCACGGCCCCGCGTCTTCCTGTCTGGTGCACCTGCCCCTCGTGCCGTGTGCACTTGGCCATCTGAAGGCAGCTTTCGCTGTGGCTTCAGGCGGCCCCCATGGCTTCTGCAGTGGGTGGGCCTTTCCATCTCGAGCTGGTTTGTCTCTGTCTGGCCTTTCTCCCGCAGCCCTTGCAGAGGGCTCTGAGATCCAACGGGCTTTGCCTTCTCTTCACACTGCCCCTCTCCCTGCGCCCCAGACCCCAGCCACACATGTAGCATGTCCCTCTGGCCAGCCTGCAGCCGCCCCCTCACCACAGCCGCCCTCTCTGTGCCACCCTGAGCTCTGCCAGGCTGAGCTGCCTCCGCTGAGGATTTTCCCAGTGTTGGTGGGGAGGGGAGGGCATCGTCCTGACATGGATCTGGGGGCTGCCAGTGGGGCACATGGCAGGGGGTAGATGGGGAAGGTAGGCAGTTCTGGAAGCTGCTCAAGTTCTTGGAGCCATGGCTGTTAATAAGCTCAGGCTCCCGGCTCCTACTCTCTCCACCTTCCCTGGGGAATTGGGTAGAGGGTCCCAGACAGCCTCGTCCTTTCCTGGATCACACTGCCCCCATTCTCTACCACAGAGCCTTTCCCCGCCGCCATGCCTGGATTAGGCAGGGCTGTCCCAGGACACTTCCTCCTGTGCCAGTCTAGAGCAGATGCAGTTCCCTCTCTCAGCTGGGGTCTCTTCTTTGCAAGGCTCCAAACATTTGCCAGCCTCCTAATGTCCTCCTCCCTTTAGGCGGCTCCAGGTAAGGGCCCCTCCCAGCCACCTCACCATCTGGCTGGACACCATTTCCAGTCCCTCTGCTCCCAGGACTGGCTGCCCTGGTACACACGCCCTGGTGTGGTAAGCAGGGCTGGGCCAGCTTATAGAGTACCCTGCCCTTCCCTGCCCTGCCCTGCCCCCCAGCTCCCACCCCAGGTGTTCAGCACCCTGGGAACTCTGCTGCATCATGGCTAAGGTGGGGGTGCTCCTGTCTGCCCGGTGGCCCTACCGGCTCTAATGGCCCTCGTGACCATGTGCCACCTGGGCAAGGAGCAGGTGCCATCCTACTTGCCCCCTCCCCAGGGACAGCTTCCTTGCTTAACATGTTTGTGCCTTCCAGGAGCCACTGTGAATCTGGTTCTGTGGTCCTGTGGTCCCCCTCACCCCCAGCTCTGCCTCAGGCACCTTCTCCTGACTGATGAGGAGACCCCCAGGCAGGATCCACAGACACCCCCTGTGCTCTGCCGGCCTCCTCCCTCAGGCTTTGTCGGCCTCCGACTCCCCTCTTTCTTGATGCAAGGCAGGGAAACCGGCACTTCCTCTGGGCAGGTGTAGCCCCAACACCTTTCCATCCCCCCGAGTCCTCGAGCAGGAGAGAGAGGAGCAGAGCAGGTTGTGGTTAGAGACCACGAGCCTGTGTCTGAGACAGCCAGCCGGGTAGAGGGTCTGCAGTAATCCAGGTGGCAGGGCTGGGCCAGGGCTGGGTCACCCCTTGGCCCAGCAACAGCAGCAACAGCAGGTGGGGCAGGAGGGGCAGGCAGTGGACATGCGTGGGGCGTGACAGCATCTTATGGAG